ACGACGTACGAGGACGTCCGTTACACCAACGCCATCCACACCCGCATCAACTGGACTAAGCGTGTCCGTCTCGGTTGGTTTACGGCACAGGCGTTTCAATCACTTGTCCTCCTTTGCGGTCTTTTGGCTGGTGCCATTCTGGCCGTCTACAGAATCAAGAGCAGTAAGGCCACGCCTGGCGACTTGACGATGCTCTTGATGTACTGGGCTCAGCTTACCTCACCTCTGCGCTTCATGGCGAGCCTCGGCAAGAAGATTGGAAGCGATTTGATAGACGCGGAGCGACTATTGGACATCATGAAGAAGGAGCCGACCATCGTCAACAAGAAGGGAGCACGACCCCTCAAGCTTGTGGGCGGAAATGTCGAGTTCAACAATGTCAGCTTCACGTACGATAACAAGAAGAAAATTATCAACGGAATTACTCTTTCCGTTCCTGGAGGCCAGACAGTGGCATTCGTCGGCGCTACTGGTGCTGGCAAGTCCACTATGTTGAAGTTGTTAAACAGATTTTACGATGCCAGCGAAGGTTCCATCCTGATTGATGGGCAAGACGTCCGTGAAGTGGACTTGCACAGCTTGCGTGACCGGATTGGTTTGGTGCCTCAGAACCCAATTCTTTTCGACGACACGATCATCAGCAACATCCGGTACGCAAGAATCACGGCCTCTGACGAAGAAGTCTTTGAAGCTTGCAAGGCAGCTTGCATTCATGATAAGGTCATGACTTACACGGATGGCTACAACACTCGGGTCGGTGAGAGAGGAATGTTAGTAGTTTTCGACCCTTCTAGAGACGCCAAGCCGCCCAACTGACTGACCGATTTAGTAAACTGTCTGGTGGCGAGCTTCAGCGTGTCGCGATTGCTCGTGCTATCCTCAAGCAGCCCGAGATTGTTCTGCTCGACGAGGCGACGAGCTCTGTGGACACCGACACTGAGCAGAAGATTCAGCAGTCGTTCATGCAGCTTTGCAAAGGACGAACAACTTTTATAGTAGCGTAAGTTTGGATGCTTACCGCGTCAGCTCTACCATGCCTAGTGATATGCCATGGCAACCTTGGGATATTGGCTAAGAAGAAGTAGGCACCGACTTTCGACCATCATGAATGCCGATCGAATTGTTGTCATTGAAGATGGCGAGGTCGTCGAGCAAGGCAGCCACACCGAGCTTATTACGGCCAACGGTAGATATGCCGACCTGTGGTCCAAGCAGACTTTCATCAAACCCAAGGACGAGGGCTCCGCCGGCACAAAGAAGTCTACCGATGTCAGCGCTCCCAAGCCTAGCGGCACGTCGAAGGCCAAGGACACGCCTGTTGTGCAGGCGGCTCAAGGTTCGCATGCCACTAGCAAGACGGGCAAGGGCAACGAAGGCACACAAACTCCCCGTAACCACAAGAAAGAGGTAGAGTCAGCTGAAGATTCATCTTTGGCAGATTCTGACCACTGATTGTGTAGGGAACGCGATTGAACCCCGTTGCACCCGAGTTTACACCCAAGTCTGCAGCTCTCGCAAGCACATTGAACTCGACACCCAATCGCCATACCGTTCCCAAGTTGGGGACTCGGGATGTCTTGGAAGTTCACAAAATCAACCCAATCTTGAGCTGGGCCAGTGCTACCTCCTCAGATGACGACTCGCCCCGGTTTCCCGTTGGTTCATCTCCCACCAGGATTGCCGGCAGACCTTCTGAACCAGCTCCAACTACAGTCGGGGTTTCTTGCACGCCAAAAAAATACTCCCAAGGAATCTCGTCAAACGCATTGGCCACTCAAGCTGACCTGGACCAGATTATGGCAATGGAATCGGATAATGACTCTGTCGATACTGTTATCAGAATCGAAGGGCCTCAGTTCAGAACACCTCACGCCACCTCCCGTCGATTCAATGCTAAAAGTGATTCGACGGGCGCACCGATAGGAGGCAATGATGGCATCGACCAAGCTAGCGATGACTCGGATGAGCTCACTCCTCTGCCTCCTCAACATCCTACAACTCGGACAAGGGTAGGGCTCAAGCGTCAACAAGAGCTTCGCCATGTATCTGCCCCAAATGCAAATTTGGAGGTCATCACTCCGGGACAGGAGAATGTTATGCCTCCCACAGGGCTCATTCCAAATATGCCGACAGGAAACCAGTCATCCGAGTGCACTTCTTCTCGCATTCCAGCTGACCCTGGCTCGACTTTGACGACTTCAGTCAATGAAAACATTCCACCGAAGCTTCCTGCCCCGTCACCTGCCTCCACATCACACCACTCTAATCAGCAACGGGCTCACAAGGGAAGATCCAACCGCGGTAAGAGTCGTGGGCGTGGCCGCCACGGCATTACCAAAACATCAAGCGTCGCTGAAGCCCAAACTCGAGTCAATCACAACCGCTGATCCTTTATCCACTATTTCTTTTTTATCGTCCGTCTCCTTATTACCACCACATCCTTCGTCGTTCGAATCGGGCCAAAGGTCCATGTACTATCATTGCGTGTGTTGCTCTTATTTCACTTGAAACAACTTGGGCGTCACCCTCGTGTGGCATGATTTAAAGAAGAAAGCAAAAGCCAGTGTGACTTGGCGGGAGGGTGGACGGTGGATTATTGCTAAAGGTTTTCCTATCGCAAAGATAAGACACGCCATCCAATGTAAACAGAAAGGCAAAAGTGGGCAGTTTGTTTTCATTAGACTCGGATGAAGGGGTCAAAAAGAGGCTTCCAAGGTCTTATGGCTTAGATTCGACTGGATGTATGAATATGGTGGCCGGTTACCTGATCAAAACCTTTAGTTTAAAATTCCACGTTATTGGCGATTCGCGTTCTTATCGCAACCATCTGACATGAGCTAAGCCTTAGGTAGGCTGAATAAAGGTCATCCCAAGGGACTGCCAATGGCGTTCTATTCATGCATCGGTATCTCATATATCTCGACGACGTCAGGTAAGTCCTAGTGATCCATCGAAGACCACGGCCACCCTGTGCCAGTAAACCCCATCCGGGGTCGTTTCTTTCAAGCAAGACATATATCAATGCTCCGGGATACGAACAGTTTCTAAGCAGAGCCTCCACGACCAGCACCGGCACCACCGCCGGGGGCACCACCGGGGGCACCGCCGCCACCACCCATCATGTTACGAGCCCTGCGACAGTCAATTAGCACCGGTTGCACGTAAAACACCAGGACGTCAAGGGGGGAGAGTGGAAAGGAAAAAGAAGAAAAAAAAGGAAAAAGAAGAAAAAAAAGCTTACATGTCGGCGATGTTGGGGTCAGACATCAGGGAGTTGAGGTCGGGCATGCCGCCACCGCTGCCGAAGCGGTCGGCCATCTCACGCAGGCGAGGGTTGCTCATGAGGTTGCTCATCATTTCAGGATTGCTCATCAGGTTCTGGGCCATGCTGGCGAACATGGGGTTGTTCATGATCTGGCTGAAGTCGGGCATGCCGCCACCGCCACCGCCAGCACCGCCACCGCCGAGCATGCTCGCCAAGCTGCTCAGGTCGGGCATACCGCCGCCGCTGCTGCCGCCGCTGGTGCCGGGCGACTGGCGGGGGAGGTCGGCCTCCTCGAGCTGCATCTCCTCGACGCGGCGCTTGGCCGTCTCGAAGCCCTTCTTCATGGCCTCGCTGCCGCCGGACCCTTCGTACTCGATGCCCTTGCCGTAGGCTTCCATGGCGCCCTTTGCGTCGCCGAGGGCGAAGCGGGCGAGGCCGAGGCGGGACCAGGCTTTCGTGTAGGCCGGGTCGATGGCGACGGCGGCCTCGGCGTCGGCCTTGGCGGACTCGTGGTCCTTGGCGGCCGAGTGGGCGGCGGCGCGGTTGGAGAGGAAGACGGCGTTGCCCGGGTTCAGGGCGAGGGCCTGGGTGTAGAGGGAGATGGCGGAGGGGTAGTCCTTGGAGGCCATGGCGGCGTTGCCGCGCGACTTGAGGGCCTCGGCCTCCTTCTTCTCTTCCTCGGTGGGGACCTTTGAGGAGGAGGAGGCGCCGCCAGCCGCGGCACCGGCACCGGCGGCGGGCGTCGTCGAGTTCTTGAGCTTCTCGTAGACTGAGTAGATCTGGTAGAGGCTCTGGGTGCCGACGGACTCGGCGAGGAGCTTCTTATCGGCGGGGTCGACCTTGAAGGCGTCGGAGATGCACTGGATGGCGACGTCGATGGATTCCTTATCGTCGGCGGGGAGGGTGCCGTCGGTGACGGACGCGGAGAGGAATTCGCAGATGGCGACCGCGAGGCGCTGTTTGGATGTCGTCGCCTGGAAAGAGGGGGAGGGGTGGTTAACACGATCGGCTTCCCGCACGCGCGGCAGTCCCTTTTTTTCGACTTGGAAGACTCACCATGTTGAAGGCTTCCCTTTGGGTGTATACCGAGAGAGGGGGAACGTAAAATTCGGTACGGGGGTGAGTGGGGAGGAGGGAAAGGAGGGTATCACGAAAAAAAAAGCGAGAGGGTATTGTGGGATGCGAGAAACGCAAAATACGATGGACGTTGTGGTTGTTGGTTTTTTTAGGATCAACTGCCCCCCGCCTCTCTCCAAGGTGACGATTGGGTTGCGGCTGATGGCGGCGTGTCCCTGTGCTGATGGGTTTGCGGGCGTTCGTCGTTTCTGTTTGGCTGGAAGGTTCCAGCGGGTACTGTGGGTGCGGGGTTGGCGGCGTTGGAGTCTTACTCTCCCTACGGAGTACTCTACCCCGCCGACTCGTGAGACGCATGTGCCTCATTTACATGCAATTATACTCCGTACGGGTGTGCAATATGTTCAAAGATCATGTTGGACACCATGGCATGCATCCTACGGTCACTGAGAAAGGCTGCTCGTCACGCCGAATGGACAGGCTGAAGCTTGTCGAAATAACGGCTCTAGGAAATCAGCGCCCGATATGTCAAAACCCCCTACTCATACAGAAAAATAGAGGTATCAGCTCTTAACCATGCCCTGGCTCCCGTCAACGCCAATGATATATATGCAAGTGTGTACTGCGCTGTTATAGTAATATGCTCCGCCAGAGCTGTTTTTCACGACGAAGAAGAAGATCCCTGGTTCCTCCGCCGGTCCACGTTTCGGACCTTGCGTAGGGGCTTATTCCGGGCCATGCGGTACTTAGTGTACAGCCGGAAGACGTCGCGGAGCACGATGTACATGCAGCCGCCGACGAGATTACGGCCCCATTGGTCCTGCAGAAGGCCGGTCCGGACTTTGAACCGGCCAAATCCGCCCACCGGCGTGGTCCAGTGCTTAGGCAGGACCAAACGCAGGAGCTCGCCCATGCCGGCCGAGATGACGGGCAGGAGGAGCGTGCCCGCCAGCGCGTTCGTGATGTCCCGGAGGCTGGCCTGGAGGCCTCGCTGGCGCGGGGCGGCGGGCGCCGGCTGAGCGGCTTGTTGGGGCGCCGCCGGTTGCTGGTTGGCTTGCGGTTGCGGTTGTTCGTCGGCCATGGCTTCGGCGATCTGCCTGGCTGCGTTCTCCCGCTCTGCCTCTTCGTCCTCGAGCTCCTCGACGACGATCTGAAATTGAGCAATGCCGTCCTGCTCCCCCATCTCGGCCGCCTCGAGCTCGACCTCCATGGCGACGTCCGGGATGTCCAGCATGTCGATGGCGGCACCGAGCAGACCTCCCATAATACCGACGTTTCGGCCGCCACCATCGTTGTTGGCGCCGTCGTTATTCCTGGCCCGGCGCTGGCGGTTCTCGTTGGGCCGGTCGATGGCTGGCGGCGTTACCGGCTCGGGAAGGCCTGCTATCGTGCGCTCCCATCTCCTCTCGTACGGGCAGATAAACTCATGGTGGAAATTGTTATACGCGGCTCTAATGTATGGGAAGCACGCCGCGGCGAGTTGAGGGGACGGCGGCCAGGAGAAGAAGTGGACGTCGCGCGCCATGCGAAAGACGCCGTACTGCATCGTCTTCGTCAGTGCCGCTGCGGGAAGGAGGCCAAAACGTGGGGTGACTTACCAACGCAGCCGCCGGCATAAAGAAGACGTTGCCCAAGACGGGGAACGACTGGCTCAGGAGCAGGGCAGGCGCAATCGTAGGTAGGATGGCGACATGGATCCAGTTGACCATGGGCATCCCCCTGGGATTGCTGTCGTTGAAGAAGAACCGATACGTCGCCTCGGGCCCCGCGAAGACGCGCACGGCGATGTTGCCGTACATGGCGAGGCCGACCCACGTGCCCGCGCCTAGACCTCCGAGGATCAGCCCGGGTGACACTTTGCTGAAGGCCTTGTAGATGTGGTTGTTCAGCGCGAGCGCCGGGTCGTAGGGCTCGTCGATGTTGATGGCGGCCTTGCAGACCGGGCACTGGATCTCCTTTCCCTCGCGCTCCAGCTCCGTCACCCACTGGATCATGCAGTCCTGGTGGCCCTCGAGGGTGCAGGGGCACGGGTTGACCCACGCGGACTCGGAGGCGCCGGACTCGTTTTCGTCCATGAGGCAGATGAAGCATCGCTTCTCGCCATCTTGTGTGGCAGCGGGTTGGGGAGATGTGTCCGCCATGGTAGGTATGTCGGCGAAAGAGCGGGAGATGTCTGTGATGGTCGGTTCGTCAAGGACGGGGGGTAGGTCGTCTGCCCAAGTATGTAACCGAGCGCGGGCAACGCGGATGAATTAGCGAATAACGGCGTTGGCTAGCGCATGTTAGTTTCTAAAGAGAACGTGGGCAGCGTATCCTCTCGGATTCCGGAAAGACCAAAAAAAGGAAGCGGTGGTGAGATCGTGGGATTTGTACAGATAAGTGTGGTGTTTTTCCCAGGCAGCCTTGGTTGCTCACTCTTCAGCGATCGACAAGCAAGCTTGGGCCAGTGTGTGTGTGTGTGACATCAACTGTCTATCCAACCGGCGACTTGGGCCGAGGCGCAAGGGTGGGGCAAAACGGTCGACATGTGGCTTGACGTTTGTTCGCAAACGTGGCTGCACAGATGCTACGCTGTCAGACGGATCTAGTTTACGCCACATTTTGACTCTGTCACGAGGTGATATCCCATCAGGGCCACTTGTTTCTCCGCACTACACTCACGTGATAAGAATCCATGATTACCTAACTTACAGCGTGGCTCTTCAAAGAGAGGGAAACTGATGGGATAGGCTACAATTGCAGCACGGCAATTGTGGGTCCACTTTTGTGTTCTAGTGCCTCATTCTCATTCGTCACAGACTCTAATAGGCCACGTCTTGTACACTACAGTCCTGCTTGGTGACCAAATCTAGTATAACTCGACATTCTATCAGACAGATTTATAGTTTATATCCGCCATAAAAGCTCCACACTCGCCTGGAATCCATCTCTTACTCGACTCTTAGTTCACCATGGTCCCCTCCCCGCTCCTCTCGCGGCCGCGGCCTCTGAGGTCATGGAACACGTTCGGCTGCAGGCCCCGTCCCTATATACGTACTTCCACCTCTGGCCCAAAGATTGATTACCAAGGCTGAATCTCGCCAGTGTACTGTACCATCCTTCCACCGTGCTTCTCCTTGGTGACCGTGGTAATTACCTGGTACATGCCATTTACGCAGTCTTCAACGCTGACGGGGGCCTCCTGCATGCCGAACTCGCGAGCACCTTCGTTGCCCATGTCCGTCTGGGTGAACCCAGGTCCCAATACAAAGGTATTGAGCCACTTGTCCTCGTCGTTGATTCTGACGCCGTACCAGTTCAGTAAGCACTTGGATGCTCCGTAAGATGCATTCGGAACCGAAGGTTGGCTTCTGTTGTACGGTCAGCGATCGGGTCCATGAGCTCGCTCAATCTACCCGTGTCTTGAAATCTTACTCGAGAGAGCCAGCAAGAGAGCCAACAAGAACAAGCATGGGCTTGTTAGTCGACTTCTGCAACAGGTCACGTGTAGCTTGGTACAGTGATACAGCGCTGTACGTGTTGACGTTGATATGCTCCTGGATCTCCTCACGCTTGACGTCCTTCACCGAACGGAAAGAAGTGGCAATGGCGGCGTTTGCAATGACGATGTCGAGGTGGTCGACCTTTTGCTTCTCCTGGAGCTCCTTTGCCAGGTTGAAGGCGTCCTGCTCGACCGCAGCGTCGTACTTGACTACGATGAGGCCGCTGCCGTTGCCTTTGTGCAAGTCTGCGAGCGACCTTGAGGTCGCGTGCGTGGGGTCTCGGACCGCGACGATGACAATCTGGTGCCGTGTTAGTTTCTTTCCACTGCAGATCGCGTTTATGGCGAGGCAGGGGCGGAAGTTTTACCTGGTTTTCCTGCTCAAGAAACCGCGTGACAAGCCCCCGTGTCGGGTGCCCGGAGCGGGGCCCCAGGGGGGCACCAGAGTAGGACCAGGACCAGATAAACTAGTTACTAAAGGAATAATAAAAAAGGAAAACTTTATTAAAGATAGGGGTTAGAGGAGGTATATTAAAATAATTATTATAATTAAACCCTAACTACACCTATTACTAACTCCTTTACTTAATACTATTCCTACCTCTAATATATTTTAATATCTTCTTATCCTTAGGTATATTAACTACTAAAGTAGTAATAGTGCTTACTAAATCCTAAACTATAGCCTAGTAATAAAAAAGTATTATAATAAAATAACTAATACCTAATATAACTAAGTTTATACTAGTAAATAAGTAATATACTATTAACTTAGGTAAGCTATTAAAAAAAAAGCTAAGGGCTTTTCTAGAAGAAGAAGTAAAAAAAGTAAAAAAAAAAATAAAAATTAATTAAATTAAAGCCTTTTAAAGTAGTATATTTATAAAAAAATATATAAAAAGAGATAAAAATAACTACTAATCCCTAACTAAAGACTAAGTAACTTTATACTAATATACTTTTAAAAAAATTACTTATCTTAAGGTATAAAAAAAAAGCTAAAATAAACTATAAGAATTCTTATTTTAGTTAGAAATATATTTTAATATAGTAAAAAATAAGTTTATAACTAATAATAATAAAATAAGATATACTAATATTATACTAAAAAGTAACTTAGTATATAAATAAAAAAAGTATATAAGTTTTTATTATAAAAATAAGATTAGTAAAGTAACAAGGCTGCTTCCCACCCCTATAACCTATGAATAGCCGTGCGAGTATACATCATGCACCTAGATGGAAATGCCGTAGGAATTCTGTATCGGCAGAGCAGCTCTATGAGCAGATTTCTTAACTCCCCAGCGAATTATCACGATGTGCACCCCGAGACTAAAGAAGTACAAGTACCTTTACACGGCCGGAGGCCGCTCGAGGGCTTGGGCGTCTGAATGTTCCAGAGCCACTGTACGTAAAGAGGGGGCACACTCTTTAATCACAATGTTTACTGTCAGGATATTACTAATAATAATATATAAGCTTTTAGTACTACTATAAAGCTAAACGCTATATAATAAGCCTTAGGCTAGTTATACTAATAATTTATTAATAAATATAAAATAGTTAAGGAGAAGTACTTTAACCTC